CACCAGAGAGGCAACATTTTTTTAAATCTCTCATTTCACAATAAAAATCACATTACCTGTTTCTGGCTTTAACCATTTCACCATTAATTCCCTCTTTTCATCACAAATTCACAAAATAGTCCTGTGTACTTTCCTTCAGAAGACTGGGACAAAAATAGCCAAAGTTTTGCATAAAAACTGAAAAATAACTCAAATTTTGTATGTTGGCTCCAAAACACATGTTTAATTCCAGAAATATTAAAGAATATAAGAAAAAAGTGCAGAAAAATTTGAACAAGAAAGTCTGGTGGGGAATAGGTTAACACATTCAACATGTTCGTTTTTTTCGGCTGATTGTGTAATCTACTGTTACCTTGAATCATTAATAGGCTGAGTGAATGAATTGGTTAATTAAGCAATTACATTGTGTACCTATCAGCTTCTTTCCACATAGCAAAAGTGTAAATAACCATACTGAAAGTGTTACTGTATAACGGTAAAGACTGTTTATTTTAGGAATTCATAGTCGTCAAGCGTGCATGAATCACGCATATTGTAAGAAATGCAAATATCGGAAATACAATGCACTACACTATAAATCCAAATTGCTTTCCTGTAGCTGGAAAATGTCATAAAATTATGGAAACTAGAGTGCAATATAGCTATAGAGGAAACAGACATGTGCGTAGTTCCCATCTTTGTGTGTATACATTACATTATGAATTATGACTGACATAACATGAACAAAACCTAATCAAATACATTAACAGATAAAAGATCATTGACATCAGACATTTATCCGTTCTCTGGTAAGTGTAGGAGTGTTATTGAATATATAGATCAATAGTTTGCAGACAAAATAATTCTCTAAGTTTTGTCCATAATCTGAGAATAATTGATTATTTAAATCGATATTACAAAGAATCCAATCTTTGCAATATTTTATTCTTCTACAACCTTTTTTTTAAAGTTTGAACACCAAATGGACAAAAATACCTTTTGGATATACAGATCTTGATGAACATTTTTGAGAAAAATAAATACGAGTGCAGAGCTTTTAGCAAGAAACAGCTAAATCTTGGGAATAATGAAATTGAAATCATTAAGTGTCAACTATTTAAAATTCTGGGGGTTGACTTGAAGAGTAAAACCAGCACAATTTTTTTTTAAAGATGACTTATTTTATTTTTTTTATTTTTTAAAGTCCCAGCATTTTCTTTTTCTGCCACACTTTGCATGCATTTTTTTTTCTATCTCTGTGTCTAGCTTTTTTTTTTAAAACAAAACTTCCAGCCACCCCACTGATTTCAAATGTTCAACCGCTTATCAAATTATCAGGCAATATCAGGTGCAATATGTGATATACAGTATGCACATAACACTGAGTGTTCATCTTGCAAGCAAAAAGGAGATTATACTATACCTTATATGAAAAAAAAGTCTTTAGTTATGTTATTTTTTGCTCGTCTGGCCCAAAAGAAAACCTATTCGATTTCATTCGGCTTTCGATACGGGCCTTTTTACTGGTGCGGATTTATACGGAGGATTCTAAATGACGCAAACGCGTCAACATCTCTCACAAAATAGACCGGTACCGCATGACAGGGATCTACAGACAAACTAATGTCACCAAATATATCCACAAATTACGTTTTAATGAAACAGCAAATGAACATAAGTTTATTACAATATTTTAACGGTAATAAATACGAACTCATTATAAACTTTCTTTCTTATGAATAGACACTACAGTCCAGCTAAGTTGGTCATTTACTGACCGTCCGACAACGGACGATTTCTTGGAGCTGATGTTGTAGCCACAGGTAAAGACGGGTAAAGACACATTAATTTCACAGTTGTTAAAACCTTAGTCGGTGAACGAGAAACATTGCTTGACAGAAGCAGTTTGGTTTACAGTT